ATACATATTATGTCTCAACCATCAGTCAAAAGTGTGCCCAGATTGCATTAACCAAAACCAGTGGCGCACCCACGGGGGGTTTTGGGGGTTAAAACCCCCCAGGACCCTATTCCGATACTGTTATTCACAAATTTTAAGGACTTAAAATGGTGGAGGTAGCATAAAAAAATTACGGTGCCCAACCAAATCGAGAGGAAAATTCTAGGCGCGCTACTGACTAAAACTAATAATTAATATGTTTAATAATGTGAAACCACTATATACTTACAACAATTTTGTACTTTTCTAAATATAGGTATATATTTTTTACAAACAGGTATTTTTATATTTGGGGTACACCTGACGTAGTAAAATAAAACAATATTTGGTGGGTAGTAATGCAAGGTTAACTAAAAAACTTGTTTTTGATAAGTAACTTACCAACTTTTTACATTAGCCTCGTATTTATAGCATGCCACGGGTATAAATCCATCCACGAGGCTACCGTCTCCTCTTTCTGTGAACGTGTTTCTTTGCAATAGATCCTTGCACCGAAATTACGTACCATATCCTATTACTTAATAGGCAAAAGCGAATAATAATTCCAAGTTGAATCAGACCAACACGTGGATATTGTATACCTCTATTTCGCAAATCAGTTCACGTAACGCAACGCAGCAGCTCGTGCTCAAACTCGCAAAGTTTCACCACCGGTAGATTCTAAGAAAGTTTCTAAACTGTTGGTGGGAACTTTTAGAAAAGTCCGCTTCAAAAGTATCGTTTGCTTTAATTGTTTAATCGATTTTTTTTATCAGTCTGGTAACAAAAATAGTCATTTTGTACAAATATTAGACCAAAAGACATTTTTTTTAATATCTGACAACACGGTGGCATTAATGTATATTCAAAATCTGTATTATGTATCACAGCGTGACAGTGGCGCACCCAGAATTTGTCTGGGGTGGAGGGGTTTTGAAGTTTTTTTATACTACCTCCATTTTGAGTCCCTAAAATATGGGTAGTTTAATTTAAAGTACTAAAGGTAGTAGGACCAAAAATTCAGGTATCTATTGTCCTGCCTACCAACTAAAACCACCCACTCTTACTTGTGCGCAGTTTTTGGAACACTCCCCTCTCTTATTTAGATATTATCTATTGTTCTGAAGCTACTTATTTTCTTGTGGCATTTTAAAGTAATAACTATTTTAATGGGAATAAGCCACAATTGAAATACAATACATTTTGGAGACGCTATCACCGTATTCCCGTTCTCCTTCGCCAGTCCTCCTGGTCCAAGGCATGCTCCTCCAGCAAACCTCTCGATTCCATCGCTCTTCTAATTCCTTCATTCCATGAGCGTCGAAGTCTACCTCTAACTTTCGTCAGGCATTCTCAATGTGCCCAAACCATTTTGAACCTCTTCTTTCTATTCTGTCAATGAACGTTTTTGTAGCATTCGTCTGATTTCTTATAGATTCGTTGGTTTTCCTTTCCAGCCTTGACCTTCTAGCACTTCTTCTCAAATAATCCATTTCAACTGCCAACGATCTTCTCTTTAGGTCTGCATTAATTGTCCATACTTCAGAGCCATAACAAAGAACTGATTCAACTATGGTTTGTCCTATTGTTTTTGTTCCTTTTGGAAATGTTGCGATCCCACCATAAGGAGTTTGGACATCCTATAATTTCACGTCCCTAATTAATTCGGTTTTTAATATCGGTTTTTCACAAGTCTTTCTTAGCAATGAGTGCACCTAAATCTTTAAATTTTTCCACTTGTTTGATTTCCACGTACTCGTCTATAAGCATTTCAAACCGTGCATCTGAATTAATAACTAAATATTCTGTTGGACTAATGGATCTAATGGACTAATGCCGAGTTGTTGTACAGCTTGCCACAATTTAAGTATTGGAACTGTATTATACGCCTTTTCTAGGTCGATGAAGGCTAGATGTACTTCGGTACCAAACGCTATTCTTTTTTCTAACTGTTGTGAGTATAAACAAGTTATCAGTGCAAGATCAAAGATTCAAACAATTCAATTCAAACATTCAGTCAATAAATTTATTTTAACTTTCAACTGCGGCTTACTTATTTCCATTAAAATAGTATTATTCTGAAGCTATTTTCTTGTGGCATTTTAAATTAATTACTATTTAACTGGGAATAAGCCACAATTAAAGGTTAAAATACGTTTTTTGACGTTTCAATTTCCACTTTGGAAATCGTTCTCAAAATACAAACCCTGTTTGTACAAAATGAAATAACAAAAATGAAATAAGAATTTTAAATAAGAAAATTAAAAAGGAAGTTAGAAAAGATGAGAGACGATACAATACGATGGAAATAACTAGAGTAATAGAAGAAAGCAGGAGCGTCGACAAAGACAGAGAACTGCTAAAGACTGTTAAACATCGAAAAATGTCTTATCTGGGACATACAGTAAGGGGAAGTCGATATAAAATTTTACAACTGATCCTTAAAGGCAAAATAGAGCGCCGTAGGTAGGAAGAAAACAAGTTTCTTGGTTAAAAAAACATTCGCTAATGGACTCAGATACCAAATGCAGGACAATTATTCCATATTGCAGAAGATCGAGAAGCCTTCGCAATGGTGATCGCCAACGTCGGATAGTTCTGATATGGCACGCGAAGAAGAAGAATAGAAGAAAACAAAAGCTTGAAAGTACTCAGACAGAGCATGTCCATTGGAAGAAAAAACGTCCACAAATTAAGAAATGAACAGGGGCAAATCATTGAGGATAGAGTTTAAATTATGAACACGATAGAAAGTTTTTATAGACAACTAAGTATACAAAGAACAGCAATGTAACCGGAGTGGATCATTACCAAAGATAATCAATCAGAGATCTGAAATTTTACCGGACGTATTCTAACATCCAATGAAGTTCGAAGGTCAGTGCAAGAAATGAAAAACAATAAGTCCCCCGGAGGCGATGAAATAGTGGCAGATGCCTTGAAAGTTGCTGGAAAAAGATTATGGCAGGTCCTTGCCAAACTATTCACTAGATGTTTGCAAGAAGCAATAACACCAACCCAGTGATATAGCGCAGAAATTATCATACTTCATAAAAAAGGGGATGCTACCGACCTCAGGAATTACAGGCCCATAAGTCTACTTTCACATATTTATAAACTATTTACAAAAATAATTACGAAACAACTAGAAAATAAATTGGAATTCTATCAGCCCATAGAACAGGCGGGTTTTAGAAAAGGCTATGGAACAAACGATCACCTACTGGTAATAAAAAATCTTACAGAAAAATGCACTGAATATAATAAACCACTAGCTTTAATATTTGTCGACTATGAAAAGGCATTCGACACCGTCAATCAACAAAAAATGTTGGAAGCCTTATTGTTGGAAATTAAACACATATACCAAAACGCAACAGCCAGTGTTAGAGTGGGTGATCGTCAAACCCAGAAATTCCCGATACAACGTGGAGTACGCCAGTGGGACACCATATCGCCAAAACTGTTCACTGCGCTTTTGGAATATATATTTAAAAGGGCAAAAGTGACCGACAAGGGCATAAACATAAACGGAGAAAAGCTTAGCCATCTAAGGTTTGCAGATGATATTGTACTAATAGCTGATAGGATAGATGAGGCCAAAGAACTTTTAAATCAGCCCTACCTTTCCTCGCTAGAAGGGATATTGAAAATAAATATATCTAAAACCCAGATGTAACAAATCTTATAGTCAGCGAAGATATATGCGTAGGAACAAGATCCATAGACCAGGTAATGGCCTATAACGACCTATAGGAAAAGATAACCAAACCGTTGAGCTTCTCCGTCGTATAAGACTAACTTGGGCAGCCTTCGGCAAGCTGAACCATATTTTCAAATCGTCTGATATACCAATATGCCTTAAAAGAAAAACCTTTAATCAGTGTTTTGCCAGTATTGACTTACGGTGCGGAAACGTTGACCATGACAAGGAGAACAGTTCAAAAGATCTGTGTGTGTCAAAGGACGATGGAGCATGCTATGTTGGGCGTTTCACTACGAGACGAGACAAAATCCCAAATCGCCAGCTACGACAAAGAACAGGAGTGGCTGATGCAGTAGAGAGAGTAACAACACTGAAATAGAACTGGGCAGGTCACGTGGCTCGAATGACAGATAATGATGGTCAAAGCGGATACTGGAATGGAGACCAAGAGATGATGCCTACCGAAGTAGAGGTCGTCCACCAACACGTTGGACTGACGATCTAAAACGTTGTCATAGGAATTGGATGCAAGATGCACAAGAACGAAATAGATGGAAAATTATGAGGGAGATCTATGTCCAGCAGTGGATAAGCGAAGATTGAATGATGATGATTCTTCTAATAAAACATTTTTTAGAATACAAGTAAATCAAACAGAAAGCTCAAAATATCACAGCAGTCCTCTGTAATAGTTTTTCACGTTTCCTGAAAATATTGATAGATGTGACTTGGCGGATTTTGCTTCTATACCCCTCATATAAATCCAAATTTTCATACCAAAATTTCAATTTTTTCAAGGATTCGTTCTGAAGTGTACTTTATTTTTGTACACACTGTACGCAAAAACCAAATTTTCCAAGTACAATTTTAAGATATAAATAAGAAAATATCAAAAACATCTGCTATATAGGTACGTAATTTGAAAAATTCAAAACAACTTTTAATTTTCAAGATATCGCATTTATCTTCAAAAAAACAAACCAAATGTTGGTCTATTATCGTCCTAATATGCAAAATAGCCACAATGAATGCTGGTTCGCACGTATGAGGTCCATATTTTAATCAGAAAATCGTATCAACTTGTTAAAACGTGCCTAATATGTTGCAATTTTGTAAATTATTTGTATCAAGTTATTAATAGCTCACGTTTAGAGAGATCTGAATTGGTAAATAGAAAGAATGAGTGGGAATTTACGTCATACAGATATAATTTTATCAATCATGTTCTAAAGATACAACTAAAGAATCGTTTTAATAATTAAAAAAGGTCTCTTACCTTTCGAACTTAACACGCTGAATGGGCTGTATGTTCGAATTTTCCTCCCAATAAGTTGGTGTCATATCCATTTTGAGAAATTAAACTTCGTATTTTGTAAAACACAATTCACAAATAACCAAAAACACACCACATAAGTAGGAACAAGAGGTTGATCAAATATGCGAAATATTTAATTGTTTACCGAAACTTTGACAGGTGTCTCACGGAACACTTGTTCGTTACAACTACCTCCTGCAGAACTTGGCTGGGCACTGATAAAAAAGCAACCGACCAACACGCTAGAGTACACGTGAGCTGTGCGGTCGATTCCAGACACACTTTCACTTTCCGTCTCTCTCTGTTGCGCCAAAAGCGCTACGTGACAAACAGCATACACGGGATGTATTGTTCGACTATTTGATCAAAAAATAAACAAATATTTTTGATGATGCTTGGGAAAGTTACTCTGTGATGTGATTGATTCAATGAGTGTACTCGATTTTTGATTTGGTTGTTATTGGACGTCGAGAAAGAGACGTATCGATACGTTGTTCTGAGCATTTTCTAATCTTATTGCACATGACCTAAGTGAGAGATCACGTTTAACGTAACGTGGAGAAATGAGTCGCGGACCACGTGATGGGAACAGTCGCCCGCTAGCACTTTTATAAATTACCCATCAACGATTATGACTCGCCATTTTTATCTGCAGGAATCAGGAATTGCTGATTTACTGGGTGGATGCAAAATATGAAAGTGGCATTGAATCTACTTACATAAGAAAGTAAATTAACCATGGTTTATATCATTTTTAATTAATTCTTCGTCGATAAATTGTTTGAAAGTATTTCTAAAAACAGTGGCGGAGTCAAAGTTGCGATAAACTTAAATTGTGGTTAATTCCCAATAAAAATAGTAAATAAAAAAAAACTACTTAATAAACTTTTCTAAATGTGTCTTTCTATCTAAATAAATAAAGTTGCTATACTCCGTTTCAAGTGACCCTCACGTACAATTTTATGTAATTTACAAATATCGTTTGCTAATAATTTTAAATAATACTATACATTATTTGTTTCTAATAGTAACTTATCAACTTTTATGTTTTATTAGTAGCAGTAAAAAAGGAACTAAATATAATGGTGTACAATTACGATTACTTACACACGAAATTAAATACAATGACTTTTTTATTTTCAACTAATTTATTAGTTTTATTTTCGGATATTTCTATGTTTTGTTATTGCCAACATATACAGTGCGGTTTTTAAAAGTCCTTCCCCCCTTAACTTTTGAACGGAACAATACATAAATAAAATGTTTCTTTATATTTTAGTTTTATTTTATTCGATTTTATTTAAATCTATAAACAAATGGTTTGTATCGCTAGCACATACTGTAGAATTAAAAACAAACTGCTTGTGTGACATAAATAAAAGGCATTTCTTAATTTCTATTTTATTTTAATTTAACTCAAGTATGTTATAGCAAATATTATTTATGTTTGAGAACCACTGACATAAGGAAGGCAGGCAGGGCCGTTAATGGGCATTAATACTTAAGCTACCCTCAATACAAAAGATGGATTAGGCTAAGAAGTGACATTTATTTTAATATAAGTTTGCAAAGAAGTATGACATCGATCTTGTGCATTTACTCTGTACAGACTAGTCACTTTGAGACAATCTATAGTATAAAATTTTCTAGATGGTTTTCTCGAGATCGTTTCAACCTTACAATTAAAATATACTCAAAATTTTGTAAGTTCGATTATTACTGTGCCGGCAAAAATACTGAATTAAATTCTAAAATGATTGATGTCTTGGAGAACGGTCTTGAAGTTTACTCTGTTTTTAAGGATTTCTACAAAGCGTTTGATGGAGTTTCTCATATTATTTATACACAAGATTCAGGGGCAGGCTAAAACCTAGGCAACTTGGCTCGTGCGTAGGGACCGTAATTTTTGGAGCCCAAAAATTAGGTTTTTAATTTTTTTATTTTTATAATTAATTTTCATTTTTATATCAGAAAAACGTGATCTTCATAATTATTGCTGAACCGTATTCCAATTATGCCAAATGGTTGATTGATAAAGTCGACTAGGGTGGACGAGCGTCCCCGTACTTAATTAACTGACCGCCAGTTTTAAAAACGGAGTTTTTCGTAAAACTTCAATTTCATGATCTAATCGATCGATTTTAATAAACCTTGAATTATTTTGTTTATTTTGATTTTCTCTATGTTAGTCTACCACAATTTGGCAAAAAAATATATTAACATTTTTGTGACCGAAAAAAAGCCGAAAAAAGGTCATTTTTGAACAATTTTTTCACCTTCAACTTCAGCCATTTTGTTTCTTTTAAAAAATTTACTTTTTCTGATGAATCATCACGTGAAAGCACTTCGTTTTTAAAACCCTTCTCGAATTTTATATTTCATCTTTAAAATACAGGAACAATGGAAAATTAAGCATATTGAGACCTCAATGCCGTTTGACGGTTCTTGTATTTATACAGAACACGATACTGGTACGCCACTAGTGAGGGGAGTAGGCAGATTGGGACCACGAACCCGGACGGAACCGTTTCCCTTTTGATAACGGCTCCAAAATGGGTGTCGAAACTTCGAGTATTAAATTCTCAACGCGGTTCTTTCCAAGAACTTGGTTTTCGTTTACCTGAACACGGAAATTGATCCGAACATGCTGCTGTCTGAATGCTGCTGGTTCTTTTCTACCTCCTCTAGTAATTTTTCCGTGCAAAAAGATGAGTGAGAAACTGAAAAAAAGGTGAACCATCGGGGACGATATTTGCGATGTATCCTTGTTAGATACAATTTAACCCTTTCACCCAATGGTTTCAACATTTCATAGACTGGTATCGTACTACACAGGAAAAGCTTGCATTACTCATTTTGGATTAGTACTTAAGCCATACACAGAGCATTGACGTCATTGATCTAGCTAGAACAAACTATGTTACCACAGTGTCACTTCCCATTGTTCAGACAAATTGCAGTCTTTGGATAGGACGTTCATGAGTCCTTTGAAAACCTACTATAGCGAAGAAGTCAGGCTGTGGCTTCAGGCGTCAGGGATATGCCCCCTTAACAGGTATTTAAGATCTAAGATGCAAAATATATTGAAGAGGCGAACAAAAGACCATCATCTTCTTTGTATGAAACCGATGATAGACAACCGTTGACATCATGTAAGCCATCGCAGAGGTCCTCAACTAGTGTGGGGAAAGCTTGTCAGTTTACAATCATTGCTGCTTCGCCCTACAACAGACAACTAATTGAAACCCAAAAATATAGAGAAGTTAAAGAAGCTAAAGAAAAAACAACTAGTAAAAAGGAAACTTGATTTCAAGAAAGATGATCATCTATCTAGTAGTAGGGAAGAAGAAGCGAGAATTTCCAGTGAAAGGTCGGATGTGATTGAAATAATTTTAAGAATCCTTCTTCTTCTTCTTCCTGCTTGTATATAGGCTTTAAAGCCTGTTTCTTCTTCAATATTAGCCTCCTAAATCGTTTAAATTGTCGTACCATCTTTTTCTTGGTCTGCTAATACTTCCTCGTCCATTTGGTGACTTATCTCGTGCTATTCGTACTATTCTATCCTCTGCCATTCTACTGATGTGTACTGCAGCATAGGCAGGCGAATCGGCAATATCTTTGGGATTGATTCCACCACCATATCGTACATCACCAGAAATGGGCTTCTTGAACGCAACAAGTCCATTCGACATAATGTCCTGTCCCGAAAATAAAAAAGAAAACCTCAACTAGAGGGCGAAAAGCTTGTCAATCTACAGTAATTGCTGCTTTGCCCTACAACGGACAATTAATTAAAACCCATTAATATAGAAAAGATAAAGAAGCTAAAGAAGGAAAACAACTAGTAAAAAGGAAACTTGATTTCAAGAAAGATGATTCTCTACCTAGTAGTAGGGAAGAAGACGCGAGAATTTCCAGCGGAAAGTCGGATGTGATGGAAATAATTCTAAGAATTCTTCTTCTTCCTTGTATGTAGCCTTTAAAGCCTGTTTCTTCTTCAATATTAGCCTCCTAAATTGTTAAAATTGTTGCACCATCTTTTTTTTTTGGTCTGCCAATACTTCTTCGTCCATTTGGTGACTTATCTAGTGCCATTTATACTATTCTATCCTCTGCCATTCTACTTATGTGTTCGTTCCACTCCTGTTTTCGTTTTGTCACCCAGCCAATTATGTCTTCTATATAGTCGATGCTCTTATTATGTTTTCGCTTCTCCCCCTATCCCCAGGGTTTAATCTCTGGGTTAGCTCCCCCTGGGTGCGCCACTGAACTCTTGAAAATATCACTTGACGTCATGCACAGCTAAATGAAATAAACATGGAATGCTCAAAAAGCGTGAATTTCAAAGTCCTATTAAAAAAAAATAATAAAAACAAAATGGTGGTCCACTTTTAGGTACTTTCCTCTTCATATAAGGCTGGCCCAAAAAAGATATATTCTAAACAAGTAAGACCATTATTCAAAGAAAAATATATGCAAACCTGCAAGAATCAATATACATTGACTAGAATGGAAAGATTCTATAATAATTTTGAAGGAACTGAACAATCAAAAGTTCAATACGAAATTAGTAGAATGCAAAATATATCAAAGATGATATAATGATTGATTAATAAAGCTGGTCAAATCCAGAAACCGCGTAGCAATTTCGACTTTCATCCTCTGTCATAACAGTCCGAACTCCAAGCAACAAAATTAAGCAAAACAACCAACACCTTACAGAATTTTGGCTGACGTATGAATGGGTCTTTTTTTAAACCTTTATTTTTACTCTAGCTATTTAAAAACGTAAGAACACACAGTAAATATTTACTCAATGCAATTGGACGGTAATTGTCGCACGGTTCTAGGCAGTAGCTCGACCGACAGGAAAGTTTTCAATGACGTAAGGTACGTGGTTGTAATTTTTTCCTCCGAATACCAGTTTATTTGTTAGAAAACAATTGTTTCACTAGTTTAGCATGCCATTAACGCACAAATGGTTTTGATTTTTGACGTCGTTCGAAATACTATCACTTATTATACAAGCTTACAATATTACAGTAAACACATGAACGAAATAATCTTGTGAGATTGTAAATTTGATATCATACTCATAACAGAATCGTGGTTAACTGCCAACTTAAGTAGTGAATTAAAAAACTTTACACTGAAGTAAAAACTTCTGTTAGGAAGTTGTTGGTATATACA